GACGTCAAGGACGTTCTGCAGCAGATCGGCGAAGCGAGCGCGCTGAGGCTGCTGAAGCGGCTCGAGAAGAGCAGCGCGGAGCGCCCCCCCCCCTCCCCTCTCCTCCAGGAGGGAGAGGGGTACAGTGGGGGCGCGCATCAAGAAACCATATGCTTTTCGTCGGGGTATCCTGGGTTTCTTCGCTCCTCGCTCTGCGCGGTGACTTCCCGCAGCCGTTGAAGGAGCTGCTGCGTTCAGGGTGCTCCAGGTTCCCCTTTAGGTGCACCTCGCGCACGGGTTCTCGGGTTGGGTTTCTTGCGAGGGTTTTTTGCGGCCGCGCCCGCACTGTAAGTCGGCGGCGAGCGATGGGGGGAAATGAGAAGGAGAAGGCCTTCTCAGAAGGCGGCGGGGCTTCCAGGAGCCCTCGCGCCTTCTGAAGAGTGTTCTGCGTCTTCGGAGAAGGCTTAGAGAACGTCTCAGAAGGCTGTGGGACTTCTGAGCCTTCTGAAAAAGGCTTTCTCATTCTCACTTCCCCCGCGGGCTCGCCGCCGAGTAAGAGGACGAGGGGGAGGAGGAAAAGGACGAGGAGGAGGAGGACGACGACGAGGAGGAGGAGGAGGAGAGGGAGGAGGAGAGGGAGGGGGATGATGAGGAGGAGGAGGAGGAGCATGGTAAACAGGGTGAAGGAGAGGAGTATCCTTCCCCACTCTCCCCCTGCTCCTCCTCCCTACTCCTCCGACTCCCTCCAGGCAGAGAGAACCTGGATGATGGCGGAGGAGAAGGAGCAGCATGAACAAGAAAAGGGGAGTCTCCCCTCTTCCTCGTACTCATCTTCCTCCTTCTACTCCTCCCACCCTCAACAGGTCACCCACAATTCATAGTATGTAGATTCCGTTGAGTTTGTGGCTAGTGTTGGCGCGGCATAGGCAGTTCATCCGAAACTTCCGCGCGTTGCTCTATTGCTCCAAAGCTCCATTGCTTCGCCCTCCTTGTTCTCCTCATTATGGTGGGGCCGTTGGATGAGTGCAAAGTGAAAAAGCTCGTGCCTGCTGGGGTTGACGCCCCGCCTGGAACTGTGTTCATTGGACGTGCGGAGATGTGGACCCCTGAGTTTACAAACATGGGGGGCTATAGCCTCGCGCATGCTCTCTGCAAAGTCCCTGACACTCTCTCTCACAGTGTGCTCACAAGTTGAAGGCTCTGTGTACTACCCGTGTTATGGTGCGATGCCTCATGGTCCCAGTCAGCTTCGCATGGCTTGTAGTATTCTTCGTGCCGGCTCGATTCCGAAGCATTCACTGCCCTTCGTTCTACCGGCACGTGATAAGAACCACGCCTCCGCTCGTGGAGGGAGTGGTGGACGCAAGGAGAGGAGATAGCCCAGACCCCTTGGCGTCGCTCAAAGGAACGTGACGTGTGTTTTCTCGCCCTGGGCCTGGGCCGTCTTGAGCAAAAGAGGCGGCGCTGCAGATGCCGCTGGGGGCGCCACCAAAGTCTAATCGGAAGCTACCTACAGACAGCCCAGGACCCATCTCGATTCGATACGAATTTCGGCCAGTTCGATCCGATTCGATTCCAAGTTCCCAGCGATCTGTTGCGGCCCGATGCTTGCATGGCGTTGTTGTGCATCCTGGCCCGGCCGATAGTACGATATTCGATTTCGATTCCGTGCCGGTCCAGCCCAATTTGATGTACAGTCCCCAATTCGATCCGAGTTCCTGGCTCGATGCTGGCTGATCCTGCAGCCATTGTGGATTATCTGGGAGCACGACTCTCCCGACCGCGCGCGCCTCTGGAATCAGGTCGTTGCCGTCGAAGTCGTCGGCTTCTCCCCGCTCAAAAGCAATATGATAACCTCGCCGCGGTGGCAGAGCAGATTTGCTTCTGATTTTTTTGGTTTTTCGGTTTTCACATTGCAAATGTGGCGCGCGCCTGGTGTCCAGAAGGTGCGCTGGGGGCGACCAAAACAACGCCCGGAAGAGCGCCTGGGAGCGCGCTGAGGCGAGCGCCCGGGCGAGCCAAGAAGAGTGCCGAGAACAGCGCCCAGGAAAGCGCCATCAAGAGTGCCCAGAATATGGCCCAGACGCGAATCTGGAAGAGCGCCCGAAAGAGCGCCCGGAAGTGCGCCCAGCAGCGACCGATTTTGCGACCGATTTCGCTTACGATTTCGCGTCCGATTTTTTGTGTGTCGATTCAATACTAAAACAAATCAGACGCAAATCGGATTTAAAATCGGATAAAAACCGGAAGCAAAGCGGATGCAAAATCGGACGCAAATCGGACGCAAAATCGGACGCAAAATCGGGGGTAAAATCGGACGCTGATGGCGTCGACCATTTCTGGGCGGATGAGGCAGCGTATCGCGGTGCATCATGGCGAGGTCTGGTAGGGTGTGTATTGCGAACCCATACGCGCAATTCAGCGTTGGAGTTTTAGCGATGTGGCGAACGACAAACTGCGATATCGCGTTGTGTCCAGGTCGGGCCAAATCGACAGAAAAATCAGATCGCCGCTTCTGCGG